CGCGTTACTTCCCTCGAGTAAGCGGCTGTAAGCGCGGGGCAGGCACCGGGCGCGACACAACCGGCTTCATGTTACCCAGATCGGGAGGGAAACGTTGAGCTCAGCCTCCAGCCGGCCCAAGGCGGAGACTCCCGGCCCCTGGGAAGAGGCGCAGTCCCTGTGCTGTCCCCCTTTCCCCCTCACCCCTGGGAACCGCCCGGCATTAGTTCCAGCTAAGATTTCCCAGTCCGAATCAGTGGCTGGTCCCAGTCCGGACAGGACAGAGACAGACATTGCCTCTTTTGTGAAGTAGCCTGTGCATGGGATTCTCAAATTTGCCCCAGACTGTGCCGTCCAGTCTAATCCTGCCTCTGCTGGCCAGTGGCATTGAGCGAGCAGAGAGCGAGCAATGGGACAGATGCTTCTCTGCTCACAACTCCTCAGAGCAAGGGGAGGAGGCAGGAGGAGCAGTATGTGAAGGCTGAGGGGAGAAGGCATTTGGAAGCAGTTGTGTTCATTAGTAAATTAACCTTTTTAAAAAACTCTTTCTCCTCTCTCAGTTAGGAACAAATGTTCGCCTTTGACAAATCCCTTCCGGCATGAGAACGCAAACCTCACAGCCTCACACAAACAGCTTCTCCGTGAGTAACTTTGTCATTTCTGTACCTTCACCCCCTCTCCACCACTCACCCAGTCATGTCGTTGGGGAACAAATGGAGGTCCCTTTCCTGGGACAGACCGTGTAGACCCGTGGTTCTGTACCCTTAGGAGTATACGAGCACTGCTTGGGCATGCAGGGATGAAGTCAGGAAGGCTAAAGTGCAATTGGAGTTGCAGGTAGCAAGGGATGTGGTGGGTAACGAGGAAGTTTTCTACAAGTACAGCATGTCGATAGCAAGAGGAGGATCAGGGAAAGCGTGGGTCCCTTGCTGAATGGGGGAGGCAGCCTTGTGACAGAAGATGCAGAAAATGCTGAAGTGCTGAATGTGTTTTTCACTTCAGTCTTCATAGGCAAGGTCAGCTCCCAGACTAGTGCACTGGGCAGCACAGTTGGGGGAGAAGGTCAGCGGCCAGCAGAAAGAACAGGTTAGGGATGATTTAGAAAAGCTGGACCTATACAAGTCCATGGGGGTGAAGGGGATGTACTTGAGGGTGCTGAGGGAGTTGGCCAGTGTGACTGCAGAGCCACTGGCTGTCATCTTGAAAACTCATGGTTATCAGGGGAGGTCCTGGATGATTGGAAAAGGGCAAACATAGTGCCCATATTTAAGAAAGGGCACAAGGAGGATTGAGGAATTACAGACCAGTCAGCCTCCCCTCAGTCCCTGGAAAAATCATAGAGCAGTTCCTTAGTGAATCCATTTTTAAGCACTTGGAGGAGAAGAAGGTGATTAGGAGTAGTCATCGCAGATTCACCAAGGGCAAGTCGTGCCTGACCAACCCGATTTTCTTCTATGATGACTGGCTCTGTGGATGCAGGAAGACCAGTGGATGTAGTATACTTTGATTTTTAGCAAGGCTTTTGATACAGTCTCCCACAACGTTCTCCCAGGCAAGCTATGGAAGTGTGGGCTGGATGAATGAACTGTAAGGTGGATAGAAAACTGGCTGGAGCATCAGATTCAGAGGGTAGATCTCACAGAATGGAACTGAAGGCCTCAGTCCTAGGAAGCAAATGGTGGCATGCTTACATCCATTTTTAAAGCTACATAGACACATGATTTCTCAGTAGGAATACTTTTCTACATCAGCCCCTAAGGTTGCTCCAGTGCAATCAGGAACACAAGCTTCATCATTAGAGAAACAAGTGAGAAAATTATGAGAATTATTATAGCCACCAATATAATTAAAGATACATACTACACCATGCAGACTGCTATTTACTTCTGTTATCTACGCTTCATTTACAAACATGCAGGTCTGTGCCTGAAGAATATCTACAAGGGAAATAATGCTTTCACATAAATTTATGTTATTCCAGAGAAAGGCAGATCTGAAATCTCCCAACCCTCTAACTGTACTGATCAGTGTCCTGGAAACAGGTTTATCTGTCCTCTGTGCTGCCTTTTCTCTCGGACTTTAATTGCTTTTCTCTTGGACTTTAATTGCTTTTCTCCAACACAGAATAAGGATTCTGAAATGTGCCTTATCCCCCACAAAAGAGTTTGTAATATCATAAATGTAGGCCCAGCATACTGGGAAACCACCATTACTGTGCAGTCCCAGTGGCACATGGGTCATTTTTTACCATACTGCGCAGTAGCAATGAGCTACTGCACAGTAGTGCCGGTGTCACAGTTTGTGCCCCTGATGCTATGTCACTGTAGCGATGAGCTATGTTGGAAAAGACTGTAGATTTTTGGTCATCTCACAGTCTTTCTTTAGGGAGAACAGGTTGCTAGTTAATGCTATAATAATGGGGTCTGGGCAATAGATAAATGACTTAAGCAGCTCTAAACTTTATTTATTAGTGATGCTTATAGAACAGTGTACTCCACTTAAGAGGCATGCAGGATGTGTGCATATTACACTTAACTTCATTAAAAAACACCACAGTCCCAATCTGTTACTTATTGCTTGTTTTGATGCATGTCTGTTATGCGTGTATCAGTTATGCAGAGTAAATGCACTGGGTAAGTGTCTAGGACCTCTTGGTCTGCTGTCTACTTTGTAACATACCAGTAACTGTGCTCCCTCTAAAGGCACAGTAGGTGACACTGAGTAGCACCTGTCACTTTCAAGGATTTAAATCAGTCTGGAATGGATTATGTCCTCTCAAGTTTTGGACTGCTCTTGAGAGTCAGAAAACTGTATAGGAAATACTGTAACTTCCTTGACTGAGGTGCAAAAGGCTTAGTGCAGGTTGTTCCTGTCCTGTGAATTTTGTCTGTTCCCAGTAAATGCATAGCTTTTTCAGTGTGAGACTCTTCACTTGGTGCGAATACACTGTAGTATTTGCTAAGTTATTGTGCAGGACCAGAAAAGATCTCAAGTAGTAGTGTCCCTTGAATTAACATTCAGATTTTTTTTTAAACCTTCACCTAAGGTAAATCACAATATTATGCCTTGGTTTCCCCTTTAGGTAACACCCCTCCCCACAAGTTATTTTGGTAACTGCAACAGTTAGACTGGAACTCATTAAGGAGTCAATAGTAGATGCTGATGGCTGGTGCTCCCCATAGTGCAGACTCTGAGGAGACATCTGGCCAATGAACTCAGACTAAATTTGTCAGTCATATCAGTCATTGGAGGAAATCTGGTTTTAAAAGCATTCTATTAGGCAACAGAGGGCACGTCTACATGTTTGCCCAACTGCAGTTGTTACTGTGCAATACTTGCTTTAGGTGTATTAAATGACTGCAGTATCCGCTGTTTAGCTACTGCACTGTAGTGCCGGCGTCACTGTTTGTGCCCTCTGATGCAACGTCACTGTAGCGATGAGCTGTGTTGCTGTAGCTCATCACTATGGTGACATAGTTTCTTGTGTAGATGCGCCCAGAAAGTATTCATCTTCTTCAAGGCAGTATTAATATGTAAGAGAGTGGTCAAGAACACAACATGCCACAGTCACGTTTTATGTTTACTTGTACAGCAGATCAAGATAATCCCCAGGATCTGTGATTAGCTTGGGAGAAAGCAAGCAAGCAAAATGCTTCATTACAGTCACTTAAAGGCAGAAAAGCCCAGTCTCTAAAGGGCTTTGGAAAAAAAACCCCTCATAAACGAGACTCAATTTTCATTCGGGTTAATGGGACCTGCAAGGCTCTCAGCAACTTGGCAGTTCATTCACCCTGTGACTGCAAACATATGACTGAGTGTAAATACTGACAGAATCAGACATTAGCTGGCCTGAGAGGGGAGAGCAAGGTAAAAATGTCTCAGTTGTGATGGCAGAGGGAATTTAGCAGCTACAAAATAGATTTCAAGAGACTTTTTGTTGCTCTTGAGCGAGTGGCCTGGAGAGATGTAAGTGGGGTGGAGAGATTTTATTTTTAACCTAAAATGATCAAGTGCATCTAATTATTTTTTCCATTATTATCTGCTTAGCCTGTAGATCTGTATGAGCCCTTGAGAAACTCATGTGAAATAATTAACATTATGATCTGAAAATCATCTCTCTAGCTTTTTAAACGTTTGCTTATTCTTTAAGAAGAGCCAGAGATGCAGCTTGGGTTTGACCAGGGAATGCTGAGTTTCCCATAGATTATTTTTCACATTTCCTTCAGAAATGTCATGTTGCAAAGTGCAGATGTTGTCCTGATGGACTGTAAGCCAAAATGCCGTGTTAGTTACATGCATCACTATTTATGTATAAACAACTCACACAATCAGCCAAGAGCAAATCCTCACACTAAAAGGAGCTTAGGGAGGCTGAGAGAGAGAAGGAGTTGTAGCTCCCCATCACACTTCCCCATTTGCTGATATTCCATCCGAGACTCTGCAGGTACAACTGAGAGTCAGTTTGCTACAGAGTTATAGGCAGAGGGGCTGCATAGACAGTATTGTTCCTGAGACTGCTTGTCCCTCCAACCCTAACTGACATGCAAAATAAGGCTGATCAGGTCAGCATGTCTCTCCAGTTGCCTTTCCTTCACATGACAGGGGCAGCATTCCCTCTAAGCTGTGTGGCATGCATAGCTGCACAGGTGCACTCATGCCACACTGCCAGGCCCACCTGTGCAGCTGCACACACTGCACAGCTTAGAGAGAATGCTGGACAGGGGGCAGCCAAGGGCCAGGTCTCACATTGGCCCACCCACCTGTCTAGGGCACTCAGCCCCAGCTTGCCTGCCACGACTTGATGTACTGTTTGCTATAATAAGCAGGAGGCTGCCCATTACACTGCCCTGATGCCAGAGGGCACTATCCACAGCTCAGTATCTCCCCTACACCATGGCCCATGACTTGTAGAAGGCATCCAGTTTATTATTACAGCTGTAGCTTGAGGTCAGGCCAAACTCAGTCCACTGTTGGGCCTCCCACATACTACCCCATTCGGGGTCACACTCGTACTGCCCCGCTCTCACTGGGGCCTCTGTTACTTTGCCCTCTCTCACCAGGCCTCTTGCACACTGGCCCTCACTGGACCACATCCAACCTGCCCTGGTCCCTTGAGTGGCTCCCATAGGCCATCAGGTTTGTCTCTTCACTCCTTGGCTGGCCAGCGAGCAGCCTCTTGGGCCCTCCACAACCCTTATCTGGATGGCAACCACACACACACATGCACACACACACACACACACTTATGGGGGTTGGCCCATGTGCTGCTGTTCAGGTAGTCACTTCAGCCCTACTCAGCACCCATACTGCACCTGTCTTCAGGCTGTGCATCCTGCTGTGTGCAAGGTACCAGATTCATGGCCCCTTCTCTGGGGTCATACATTCCCCCTCATGAGGTTCAGGTGCCTGTATAGGTAGGCCTGGCCCTGATACTCATAAGTTACCCACTGAGGAGTTGGGGCTAGGGTTACAAGGTGCCCCTACCTGCCTTTCACTGCGGAGGTAACTGGCATTTCTGGGGGACTATTCCACCGTGAACAGCCCCACCAGGCCACCTTTCGCCAGCAGGGTGAAGTTTTCAGTCTTACCCAGGACCAGGAGCTTTCTGCCATCCCCAAAGCTCCTGCCCTTACCTCCAGGG